GACATGGTATGCGGAAATGTTACTAATTGCATTTTGTTTGTATTCAATATTTAATTGGCATAACGACTTGCACTTGCATTCTCAAATGATCGAAAGCTATGCTCTTATTAATGCTTTATATAACTGGGTGGTTGAAAAGCATTTAAACAGTGAATAACACGTTTGACACAATGATAGTGTTCATGAACTTCACATTCATCGGAACACAACCAGAGTTCAATTGCATCGACAGTTTATCAAGATGATTATTGGCTCAACAAAACCAACTAATTACAAAGATCTTTACAAAAGTCCTTTATTGATGCAAATCTGCATAACTCAATGAAAACTGCTTGAAAAAATGTAATTTCATGGGTATTGTAAATCTTCCTCATAAAAAAGTGAATTTAAAGTACCTTGAAACTCACCGTGAAATCGTGAATACAGTTTAACTAGCACATGTAGTGCAATTATTATAATAGCGAAGGAGAATTTAAATTTTCGTTTTGATATGGGAAAATTGGCACTTTGAGAAGGATCCCAGGATGTATTAAAAGTAAATCACTATCAACAAATTTTGGCCTTTTACTTTTTTGCTGTATGAGTATACGTTGCCCAGGGTGCACCACGTGGAGGTAAGTCTATCGCACACCCCCAGGTCTATTAACCGGCAGTTGACTTCTGACTTCAAACTACCATGACCCCACTGCATTTCATATTCGAATAATTACACAGTACTCATCTTACCTTACCTTTTCTCTACCTTTGTGTCTGTCTGTCTATCTCTTTTACATCTGTGAAACATTGTTCTGTCCCCCTCTCGACTTTTTGCCACTTTGATGTTCATCTTCCTTTCTGTGAAGCCCGAAGTTAACTAAAGGGCTAATGATACCAATCATAACGCCTGACATTTGCAATAAATAAATAAATTTTGGCCTTTTACTATGTTGAACTATCTTCAGACTACATTGTTTTCTAGCGTACAGTTACTATTACAATATCGGAAAGATGCCTTATGGCTCAACTTGAGATCCTTATTTTTATGGGTTATTTAAATGAGAATCTAGAACACCATCGAAGAATATAATCAAATTCAGTTCTTCCGGTGTATTTTTGCGGCTTCTCCTCTACATTGCAGTCGGTTCTAAAGCCACTGATGAATCACATATTGCCGCAAATCTGTGTACAGTCACGCAAGTGTGATTAGGGAGCGTTAATTTTGGAAAGAGGCCATTTGAAGTTTGGGTCGGTAGGAGTGACTGTACGGGTGTCGTAAAAAGGGGTGAAAATGATTTAAAGAACATGTTCTAGAGAAAGAGGGAGTGAGACAGAAGATGGGAGAGGAAGATAGTGGTGCGGTTAACCGGTTCTTAAAATACGCTCCATCACTCTCGAAAGAAAAGCGGAAGCGATGAAATATGGGAAAGGTAATAAAATAAATTTGTATTGGATTTATACACCCATGACGCAATGATCGGCATGCATCCATGCAAATACATTAGAAAATATGACCACACACAGTTAATAATTCAAATCAACGGGAGACGTGAAGCCTTCTAAACCATCTGTCTTCTATGGTAATTATTACAGGGTTTAAGGGAAGTTCTACATTTCGAAGTGCTTTAGGCTGTGTAGAATGTATTAATGTACCCTTGGTTTATATTCGCATATAAATTTTTCCCCACGAAATCATTTCCAATCACACAGAGAATCTGACATTTGGATACACGGATTCGATGTTTATTTGCTTAGGTGTGATGGCCGTTTGAGTGGGAGGTGGTCCAGAGTCGAAGAAAACGAATTTCAGACTAGCGCAAAATACATCTCAAACTGCCTATTTTTGACTGAATAAGATTGAAAAAAATTTGAAAAGGTTTATAAAATTTCTAAGACTACATTCGGACGGAGTCTTATATAGTGAAATTGATCAAGTGATATTTTAATGGGGAGTTTTGAGCAATTAGTCTAACAAATTCTTCACTTTTATTTAACACCAGGAAGTTGTGTACACAGGGAATTAAATCGTACTGAAAATAGAGCTACAATAGAGTTGCGTGATCTAGAAAGAGTCTAGAAAAAAATAATAATTGAACTCTCATTTGAGGGATGTCATATATGCGCATTTCTTCATAACCTCTAAATTTATTATCACGCAGAAAAAGGGAAATTTGACAGAAGGGAATTGTTCATATTAAACCCACTTTAGATTTCGTAATGGCAAAGTAGCATTGTTCAATCAATATCATTAGAATGTTGGTCGACAACCTTTGCCGAATCCAAAACATTCCAATGAGCAAAGCATTCATAAATCAAGTCAACCTAAGAACCAGGAAGGAGATAGTAAAACATGAGCACGTATCACGGAACTTTGGAGAATTTGAAGTAATAGCACCGCCAGCAGAAAAGAAGGAGCAATTTCCTAAACAATAATAACCGCTTTAAGGTGAATAAGGAGTGAAATGAAAATTGTTTAGGGGAAAGCATCATTTGAAGGACAATTCGATTCAGTTACCAAAGGCAAAGCTAAAAGTTTTCAAAGCAACAGCAGCTATTTATAAAAGAGGGAGACTTATATTGTAAATTGATCTACAGGTATTGAGTCTTAGCTTCAATGATGTCTCACCTTTTCTCAATCGAACTGTTTTAGTTTCCTGTGTAGTGGAATGAGAGCCTTTTGAATCCTGCTTCTGACGAGGTGGCAGGACAGGAGCATTGTTGGACGAAGATGGATCTTTTTCTGCCTGTTGCTGTAGCTGTGTCTGATGCTGAGACAACGCGGTGTGGGGTGAACGACGTGGAGGTGGGGGAGGACCAGATTTGGAAACTATGTCCTCTTTTCCTTTGCAGGAGTTGTCGATCACTACCACCAGACCACAGCTCGGTTTCTCACACTCGTCTGAAACTCCGGTATCACCAACTTCTCGTGTCAATATCGGTGGACTTGTTCCACTACATGGTTTGCTCTTCGGGGGAATTTTACAGTGGGTAATGTTCCCCGTATAAGGGAGAACTTTCAGTGTGATCTCTGGATTCTTTAGGGCCTCTTGAAAGATCTCTCTTCCTCTGAAAAAGAAATAGGTGAATATTTAATCAGTTAATGGAAATGCTACGGAGAGATTTACTTTCCACCTTTGTATTATATCAGTCTGAAACTACAAATCTGACGGAATAAAAGTATGAATCATAATGTTGAACGAACTGGAAGAAAAGGTTATGGGGGGGGGTTGTTTGAATAATTCATTAGTAGAAGCACTTCCTTTTAGTATTTTAAGGAAAATAGAAGATTATTTTAAAAAAGTAAATCCCTTAAAGTTGTACTACCTTTCACTATATACTAATGTTATTAAGTGTTCAAATTCATTAATAGGAAAAGTTTCAAGGTGACCCCTTCGTCAGTGTGGTGATTGTACTTTGCGATATTAATTAGATTGCCCCATAATTAGCTTTAAAAATGCTACATTCAACAAGAATATAGATTTTATAAATATGTAGTGACAATAGTTAAAAAATATGGTGATATGCCTCGACAATTCTTTTTCTTATCAACGCCATGGGGAGTGGGGTGCAACTTTTTTGATGCAAACATTAATTTATACCGACCAAGAGCAAGAAGGATTAGGGTTAGATTTGCATAGCCACGCACTGATGTTAAATATTAACCACTTTCCGTCAACATTGCAGGAACGTGCAATAAAGAGGCCATGAAACTACAAAATAATTCATATCTCTGTAAACGAATATCAGCGCGATTGCCTCCAAATGTCCAGGAAGCTATTCGCTTATAATAATTAACTTCCCTACATACTGATAATAATTAGATCAGATAAGGGCAACTTGGAAGTCAAAATTCAGAGATTCACTTACCATTTTTATGAAAGACGTATTTCATCTTCCTAGTCACATGGCAATTTGAATAGTAGAGAGGGAACAATTGTTCAAATCTTATTTACTATACGAGCACTAAATGGCCATTTTTGGTCCTGTGGACTTGCTACAGAGAGCTTATCAGACCATAACAAGAACAGCAATGAACGAATGAAGCTCTCGATAATTTGATAATCACATTCCATACACAATTAGAGATTCACTGTTGTCTTCCATTATTTTTAATGTTTCGAAATAGTCCAACTTTGCGAATTCATTTATGTTTCAGTTAAATATTTTGTGAATAATGCCTATGAAGTCATAAATAACGACGGTTATGAAGTATGGCAAACAGCTTTTATTACTGTTTGATATTGATTAAAAAAATTCCTAGGAACAAGGTACACAGGAGGGAAAGATCGGAGTTTTATAAATTTTCGCTAATGGTTTATCTGAGAGGCAGTGTATTTTTTCAGTACCACTTAAATAAATGGCGCATTAAAGAGCACGATTCAGGTGACTAATGACCTTTCAGGGCAGTGGAATTCACTTTAAAAAAAACAGTTAATTTTTTAGTTAATACCCAATTTTCTATAGTACTTGAAATAAGTGCCTGCGTTAACCCATTAATAAGCTATTTATCTGAAATTTATGTTTTAATAGTGAAAGAAGTTAATCTCATGGACGCTAAATACAACTGAAACATGACTGCTAGCATTCGTTTACCGACGGTTGTTTTCTTGAAGAAAAACCATTTCCAACGCTATTCTCGAATACCATGGATTTTATTAAAACAATCTATCTGGTGAGTGTAAAGTTTCCGCCTTGAAAAATGCTCCGCTATATGGTTTTGGGAATTAAAACCGTTTCATCAACGGCACGCAAATCGATTAATAAGCAGGACAAATAATCTCCTGTGAACTTTGGCTTGAAATTTAGTGGAATTGAATAGAAAGTACACCCGAAGTAACCTTAAAACCAACGTTCAGTTGACCCCAAAAGCATGGGTCAATTTAGCCACATTATAAGGGCTAGAAATGTGATAGCTGGTCCCGTCTTAATAAGTCTTCATAAGAAGAGGAAGTGATAAATCCCCTTTTCTACTATATCTAGAAATGCGGCCTTTAATTAAAATATAAATGTGAATTCAGAGGTGTTTAAAAAAGTAATAAGGTTCGTGCCACAGGCTTAAGTTGGGAAAAAATATCTTATTGCATTTAGTACGACGCTAATTGATTTTGAAGAGGCGTGCTTTACACTACTTCAGGGATACGATTAAATGTAAGAAGAAATTAGCCACAACTAGCAAGAATTTATCACTAAATTACCTTTTCATTTAAGTATTCACTGCGAAGACCACAGAAGGAAAGATATGCAACAGTTCTGTAATTTCGGTCTTGTTTAGTTAAAAAAGATATATTATTATAATAAAAAAGTCGATTTCAGAATAAAAAGACTCTAGATTATCAAATACTTCAACATATAAGGATGAAACGATCAAATGGTACAATTGGCATGACACTTATCATAAGAGCATATAATTCCATTTCTTAAATTAATTAATTGTAACCAGAGGAGCCTATTAGCTAACAAATAAAATAATCGAACTACTCGATTAATTGAGAATAAAAAGGGGACAAAATCAACAAGTCTTCTTTCTTACTAATTTAGGATATCACTAGAAATTTTGTCAAATTGAGCGCCCTATTTTTCACCAATATTTTAATGGACTTAGAATGGGTGTGAAGGTAGCTCTCATTGCGCCATACTCGACACGCACACACAATTTATTTTAATAAGCTTCCAACCTTTCAGTAATATTTGTTTGAAAACATAGCTAACCATGCACACTAGCACAGAAATAACAAGCTTGTAAATGCAGCGATAGTAATAGAGAAGGTCGCCTGTGTGGGAAATGGGATAAGGCGATACTGGAATGCAGTGCGCCATGCCACTGTTTTGGGCATGCTTATTGGTCAGGCATCAAGGTCGTATAAGTGTGTGCGTTCGTGTGTGGAGGTGCGTAATATCTGTTGTCTGTTGCGCTCGTAAACGAATCAGCAGTAAGCTAAACGCAGCGCAGGTTTGGCTGTCCAAAACCGAGAAGACATTAAGCTCCTTTTTTTCTCTATCTCCCACTCTTTTTCCTTCTTTGCCTAACGCACAACCTCTACTGCGTAACCTGACCAGACAAATTTGCCTAAGAACCCTAAAGTTCACTGAAATAACGTTCGTATGTACTGTTTCGGTCATAACTCTGAAAATCAGGTAACCCGAGCAAATATCAAGTGAATTTATTGCTGGTAGCAGAAAGTAATGCCTTCATGTAGTATTCCAGATTTGGCGGAATCTACTTTTAAATCTGGTTCATTGGTTAGGATAAAGGACAATGATTCCAACAAAATTAAACATCTCTTTATCAGTAAAAAGCATGACTAATCATGATTTATTTCAAGAAAATAAATCGAGATGAACCTACTAACGTGAGATGTAACTGAGTGTGGCAGGGGAAATGATAAAGAGGTAGAGAAAAACTAAAAAAATTTTGGGTGATAGAGGAAATAAGTCTGCCAAAAAAGGTAATTTGATAGAAAATGAACCCACCTTCGTTTGAATTTACTAACTGCCCTTGGTAATACAAAGCAGGAAACTGGTGATTTTAGGACGAACGGCTATCGAGGTCATGAACCCATTCAAATGCCATATGATAAACACCACAATTGGAGTGTCAGAGCTCAAAAGTCAAATAAACTAATGCTCTTTGAATGTCCGCGTTATTTTGAAAAGTGGAATAGCCTAAATATCTCAAAATCTGCGTCTTTGTTTGATAGAACAATTAAATAATGAAATTCTGACGAAATAAAGTAAAATGACAACTTTTTCTTACTTGTCAAACGTCACGCCGATGAGAGAGGTACCGTTGACACTCAAGATTCGATCACCGACTGAGAGGATTCCTCCCCTAGCAACCCTGCCATTTGGCATAATGGCGTGAACTTCAAGTCCGGCTTCGCTGAATGGGAAAAAAATGAGTAAATTTAGAGCTTAAGGTGAAAACCCACTTAAGAATAGCACACAGAAAAGGTTTGACGCGAAAAAATTAGTTTATCAACGTTTAGTTTCTAAACTTCTTCACTAGATGATCGCCCGAGTCGTGGTATGGCCTATTTAGGACGCTTTAAAAAGGATCTTCTCTAGCCTGCTAGGAGGGTGCAGGTTGAATGTCTCCTGCGATCGCTTTCCTATATCCTTCTCATAAACTGAATTAATCAATGCAATCGGTCATTAACATCACCAGCAATGTAAACCGAATATAATGGCTTTGGATAGGGGTTGGACATCTTCATTTGGTAAATGGAATACCAAAATTTATTGTAGCTACGAAATAAATAGTTGTTAACATTGTCTATGGCAAAAGACATGTAAAACTATTATATAGCAATTATTTACCAATTCTGGGTAATAAGTAACTCACCATTTCCCATTAGAATTTGTATTAAGAGGAATTTCTCCAACAAATGGAATAACCTCCGCGGGTTCTGTGAAAATGGGCTTAATCTGAATACCCAGGTTCTCCCCAGGGTTGGTGTTTACCAGTCGAATGTTTACAGGTTCCGATTGATAACCAGCAAGGAAGAAGCCCCTTCTCAGTTCTTCGGATGCTTCACGAACATTACGTCGAAGAACTCGACTCACCAAGTCATGCTGACTGGCAGAGATAGTTTCGTCTTCACCGCTACCTAATGGTTGAGCTAGAGAACTTGTACCAGACATTATACTTGAAGGAGTTGCGAATGGTGAAATGATACCATCTTCCACGGCCGTAGCTGCTTGAGTTGATTCTAACCATTTCAAGACTGCAGGTGTTGTTAATCCGCGATGTGAACTTCGAGGCAGTGGCTGGGGTTCGTCAGGTAGTTCAGGTTGTAAAGGAGGACAATTGGCTGCTATCTCTACATCATGCCCATCACCCCTGAAATTAAATTGCATGCGTACATGGATAATAAATAATAGAAAATGAAATAGCCCTTTCATTTTACTAGGAAAGGCTACTAGAATGTGGTCAAAACTGAAATATCGGCAATAAACTTTGAAGTTGGAACTGGTTTGAACTGCAATAAAACTGAGGTCACAATAATTAAGACTGTAGAAGGAAGACCGCAGGTGAATTGCAAAGGTAAATTAATGATGAATGAGAGTGTGCAAGTTGTAGAATTAATAGTTGGGACGTGATAAATATTTCAGTTAATAACCGAGAATATGTGGAAAGAATCATGACCAAAGCTTTTGTTCTCACTGTCCCAGTGTCGGTGAATGAGAATGACTGTGTAACTGAGAAATGGCTTATTTTTAACCCCATTTAGACTGCCACTGCTAGTTGACAGCGTTCCTCTAAAGGCATTAGTGTTTGTCAGACAATAGCAGGGCGACCAAAATGCTTGCATTGGGGAATGTCAGCTAAGTGGCAAATGTAGTCAAGCAAAATCTTCTTAGTTTCCAGAACAGGTGCCTCGTTTACTTGAGAATCATTATTCAAGGGAATCCAAGTGACAATAGTTGGAATTTCGCAAATTTAATTGTTTGAATTACATTGAGCATGGTATCAAATCGGCTACTGCTTGTGATTAATTAGTTTCCTCCACTTTTCTCCCAATCAAAAAGAAAAATAAACAAATCGATGCTTGGTTAAATAAAAGTCCAGCTGACTCAATTCGAAAGACCAATAAACAGGCCATTTGGTTAGGACATTAAAATTGCAAATAGGAATATTTTAATCAACATTTCCTACTTAATTTTAAAGAATTATAAATATGGGAAAGTGGTAACTAATTAATATAAATATTAAATCCAAAATTTTGACATGGGTTCTCAATTCTAAGCAATGTGGAAACATTTTTCGGTTACCACATCAAGGATTTTCCTGATACCTTAAAACTGATGAAAGCTCGATCCGTTAATCGTAATGTACATGTTTTCCAAATCAACTGTTGCTGACGTTGCCTCTTGTCACTGATTGGTCAGCTAACACAAGGTTACTATCTCATGCCACGCTAGTTATATATCTAAATATGCTACATTGCAGAAACTATCGGATAATTCAAAGGTCCTATCAGAGCACATAATCGATCTTTGTTGTTTATAAACTCCTTTTGTGCAACTTCAGATATTGCTTCCTTCAACACGCCACTTCGTACTGATACAACAACAGCACATTTTAAAATCATTGTATCCGACTCCCTTCTTATCATTTCCACTCTATAGCAAAAAAACTGCCTGATAACTTGCTAAATGCCCGTATTGTAAGAGAAAGATACTTTAAGACAATTGAAAAACCTAGAAGATAATACAGTGGGCTTACTTAAGGCGATAATCCAATCTTAGCATTGGATAATCCTCTTCCACTTCAGCTTCATCCTCTAACAGTTCCTCTTCGTGCTGGCCAGATAGAAATGTATTTGCAGTAGTTAGATCCCTGGAATTTGACCCTATTGGAAGTCGACTTTGACATGAATTTGCTGATGTCACTTGATTGTCGCTAATATTACTTAGCTCGGTTGGAATAGAATTGTCTCTAGAGGGACTATTATTGCTTGGATTGTCAGAGAAAAATATTTGGTTCTGACGTGATTGATGAGATGATTGGTCTAAAATATTTGATAAGATGCATTTTAATACGCAGGAGTCTGAAAAACTTAATAGCGAAGAGCGCATTTGTTATATTAAATACATATTAGTTACTAAAAGACAACCTTCCTCAGCTTACTAAGGGCAAATTCATGACAATGGCACAAGCAAAACTCCATTTAGCCTACTGGCCATTCAGATATGCGCCTTGTTGCTATAAACTCAAAGAGAACCTAAACGCTAAAATTTGGACATAGAGACATTTGAACATGGAGTACTGAACTGAAGCCATTGGCATTAAAAGTGCAAAACTATTGGGTTGGCAACTAAGTCATTGCCGTTTTTGTTGACAGATTCACTCTATACTTTCTTTTGTTTTGTTAGCGTGGCCAGAGCATCTAACCTATATTTTTTTCTTACTGTATGAGCTTCTAGGTTAATTAGAAAAAATTTTTTTGTTTAGTTCTTTAGTTTTGTTTTTATCCCAATTTAAAAATGAAAGAACAGAACGTGCACTTCCGACACATTTTATTGTATTACTTCCGAAAAGGCAAGAACGCATCGCAAGCACAAAAGAAGTTATGTGCTGTATATGGAGATGAAGCCTTAAAAGAAAGGCAATGTCGAAATTGGTTTGAAAGATTTCGTTCCGGTGATTTTTCACTGAAAAATTCACAACGATCTGGCCGCCCAGTCAAAGTGGATGAAACCCATATCAAAGCCATTATCGATTCAAATCGTCACAGCACAACACGAGATATTGCAGAGAAGCTCAATGTGTCGCATACATGCGTTGAAAAAAAATTAAAAACCCTTGGTTATGTTAAGAAACTTGATTTATGGATCCCTCACCAGTTAAAGGAAATTCATTTGACGCAACGGATTAGCATCTGTGATTCGCCGCTACTGAAACGCAATGAGAATGAGAATGATCCATTTCCGAGGAAGAACCTAGTTACTGGCGACGAAAAGTGGATAGTTTATAACAATTTTACTCGCAAGAGATCATGGGTGAAGCAAGATCAACCAGCCCAAACAGTATTAAAAGCAGAGATTCACCAAAAAAAGATTATGCTGTCAGTCTGGTGGGATCACAAAGGAATTTTATATTTTGAACTCATTCCGCAGAACCAAACGATAAATTAAAATGTGTATGTTGAAGAACTCGAAAAACTGAAAGAAGGATGCAATTGAAGATAAGCGGCCAGCATTATCAAATCGGCGGAAGGGTGTTGTTTTCCATCATGATAACGCAAGGCCCCCCCCACACATCTTTGGTTACTCGGCAAAAATTATTGCAACTGCGTTGGGATGTTTTGTCACACCCACCATATAGCCCTGACCTTGCGCCTTCGGATTACCATTTGTCTCGTCCCATGCAAAACT